CCTGTTCCTCTCCATTGTCCTCATTTTGTGTTTCCTGCATCTCATCAGAAGCAAGATAGGTGTCAAGGCACTACAGGCATGGCAGTTGCTCACTTTGTTTATTTCCATCACCTCAGGTTCGCTATCACTGTCACTGTCACTTTTTTCATCACTCTGGTTGTGTGTCAAATTATGTGTTGGCTAGCAATACCTCATCCAAAACATACCTGATGTGCTTTCTCCTCTCTCTGTTGCTTGCCCTGTCAACGGATCAGCTCAAGCATGTAATGAATATCAGTGTACTTTACCAGATGTTTAATGTTAGTTTGACTATGATCCAAACTTGTTGTACCCTCATCAGGATGTTCTCCCCCTTCTTCAAGCTTCATGACAGGAGAATGTACTTGACCTCCAATATCTGAATAGTGTATCTGCATAGAGTCTTTGTTGTCATGCTAAAACTGGTGTAAACATATGTTTTCTACAGTATTAGATGTAAAGCCCACCATGGTGTTGTCATTATTGTCCACATCCATCTATGTATATATTGTAAGCCAATATTTGCTTGTATAAAACAAAGAAGTGGTATCACCTCATCTGAACTCATATCCTTCTCTGAGTCTGAAGAGGATAAATGAGACTGAGTAGATAATGAGCATATGACAGTCTCAAAAGTATTTTTACATGAACATTCACTCACTTTTATCTGGTTCCATGCTTCTTCAAACACATTTGTATGATGTGCATTCCCTACAAAAGCCACATCATCAACCTGATATTATAAACAAGGTGAGAATTGATACAAAAAGTGCAAACAGAGCATACATTGTCATTTGTGAGAATTGGGCTGATGTGTAGCTCTAGTTCTGTGGTTTGTTGACTGGATGGTATAGTTTCTGCATCCATTGTCTGCAATAAATACTGATAAGCATGCAAAATACATGTGACAAGAGTAAAACTAACATTTATATAGGTAAAGTACTAATTAGATACCAGCAGGTCACAAAAATATGCGGTTTTTCTTACACCATTGGATAGAGGACATCCATACGAGTAAAATGAGCCCTCACTCGTTGAAATTGGCGGGCTAGATCACGCTCTAAACATCGAGCAAGGTTGGAAACCACCCAGGTCACCAGCACACCTGCAGCATGGCCACTTGCCATATACAGCCTCATGCTGTGCCACCATGATGTCGCGTCACAAGCTCCTTCCATATATGGAAGGACTACTTCCCACGAGCTGCACTCACAGCACAGCTTAGACCCGTGACCTGTCTCAGCTGGTGCAGCCTAATAAGGCAATGAGCCAGAGGCTCCCACGTCAGCAAGACTGGGATATTTTGTCGACTTGCTGGCAGGCAACCAATGGAGATTGAATTTTGGCTCAGCCCGAGAGAGATCGCTATCCGGATAGGGAAAATTAACCCCTGTAGATTTAGATACAACACATCTGAACGTGCTCCCCCGCCTCATACGTGTTGAGCCCATGTACTTATGTCTTTATCCCTTACTCCACTCCTTTCAATTATGAATGAACACTATATTACAACTCTCCACGCCCCTCTTTTGAATAACGGCTGTGATTCCCTCAAGAAACTGTCCCAATCTTTCCTCAACAGTGTCGTGAAGATGACCAAGGCCCCTATTCTTTTCTTTCTTTTTTCTTCCCTTCCCTCTCTCCTTTCCACACTTAGAGCCAGGTTTGTACACCTCCAGTGGTCTCCGTGTACCTCCGGCCATCTCTGCACACCTCCGCACACCTCTGGGCCCTCCGAAGATTTCAGAGTTTGCTCCACGCCCAGAGTTACCTCGGACCTCTCATGTTTCTCTTTGAGCATTGCTCCCGACAACATTTGAAGTTTATGCAGACCATGCGGACTAGGGCTGTTGCAAGCTGAGCTGAGCTGAACTCAAGTGTGACAGCTGTCAAACTCAAGTTCCGCTTAAGTGAGCTCAAGCGCTCAAGCGCGGTGAGGCTGGGCCAATGAGCCCCTATCTTGGCAATGAGATTGACGCAAGGTGCGAAACCATCCAGTAGTACTCATGTTCAACGCCTGAAGTAATGATTGTTAAAATATTGGATACTATATACATAAGGTTATAGCATTACTCTTCACAGTCTGTATTGTAAGAATCGTTCTGAATAGATAGTTTTGTTTCCCACATTTGTGTTAAATCACACCGGCTGCAAAAACGAAACTTAAGTACTTGTAGAATCTCAATCAGCATTTGGTTGAGACTATTGTGTTGTACTGTTGTTGTGTCCTTGCTTGAGGAGAATATGCGCTCGCATGGTACTGAAGGCACTTGAACCAGCAAGATGTCAAGGGCAACACAAAAGAGGAGAGGGAAATCATAACGATGTGACTGACAGCTGTATGTCAAGCTCTGGCCTGGGGAATAAAGACGGAAATTTGAGTACGCACCTGCCAGTACCTAATAAGGTCAAATTCTTCCTTCTCTTCCTTATCATGAATGACTCCCTCATTGATGTAACATGTGATTTCGAGCTCAACACGACGCCAATGCTGCTCTATTGTAGTGGGAAAACAGCTGGAGCCAATCTCAACAGCACTAGTTGATGACCCCAGTGCATTGCCTCGTGTAGATGCGAGTTTTTGATTAATGGCTGCCTCCAAGTTGTTGAGACTTCATGTGTTTGCTGCCAATGCATGAGCGCCTGAGATTTGATGCTTCAAACCTGACTGGGAGGCATTTCTAGGATGTCTGAGTGGCTCGGACTGGGAAAAATCCAACATCTACTGAGTGTCAGCAGGAAGAGATCACAACATAAATCCTACAACAGACCACTTCACGTAACCATTTATTTGCATCTTGGACTTCTGTATTTGACCAGTTTGCGGTGATGTAGTCAAATCTATACAATGGATTGAAGACTTGAGGGGGCACAAAGTCAGCAAGGGAAATCCTCGAACTCAAACAAAGCAACTCACTCATTGATATGGCACAAAATTGAGATTGCCGTGCATGCTGCAAATATTCCTCAAGTTTAGAGCTGCTTCATGCGATGGCTTGTCCAATTTGGGGTGTTAAAAGAGCCTGATCCCTGAGGAGCTTTATCAGCCATCCATACAGTGGTATAACATTTGAAAGTGTTGGTGTGGTCTCGGTGGAGACAGCTTGCTGAACACTGTGCGGAATTAGTAAAAAATCTCAAATATCGGCCAATACTTTGAGATCCTTCTCGCTGAGACCAGAGTGCTTGATTTCAGTGTGCACGGACAAGTAGTGTTCAACAGCCTGCAATAAACATTGAGAAATATATCAGTATAATGGTAATGTGATGGTATAGAACTAGACTTACAGGGTAAAGCTGTAGCATGCGATCAATCATCAGGAAAGTTGATGACCAATGCGTGTCGACATCCCTGAGAAGTGCATAATCAGGAATGGGATCCACCTCAAGCCCAAGTGCTGCGCTTTCAGCATTCACATGCGTGATGGATGCTCCGAGGTCATCTCTCCGCTGTCCAGAGCCTCTGATTGCTTTCACAAGACTGTGACAGCGAGCAACAACGTCAGTCTGCAAAGACTCAACATAGGCAGTATCCTCAGTGAGGACCTTTGCCCAGTCAATGTCCTTGTCAGCAAAAAATTCTAGTAGATCTTCATCCTCGGGATTGAGAAGCTCTGTTAGCTGCTTGAGTCCTGCTTTCACTGCGATGTTGACAACATGTGGAAAACACCTACAAAATGTTAATCATTGCCAATTATTAGCAAAAATAAAGTGCACCTTATCCACTGAGTTTTGTCTTCGAAAGCAATACCAGATTTTCTCAGTTGGTCTGCAAGGTGCATTAGCATCGTAGAATTATTTGATGCATTGTCCAGTGTTATTCCAGCAACCTGGAGGTGATTTGAGTCGAGTAAATTGGCTCATATGTCGCATATATCACCTTGTGCGTAGCATCAATCTCCCGAAGAACTTGGTGGAAACATTGGGCCAAGTTCTTGCCATCATGAGCCCCTGTTACACGACAAAAGGCAACAAGCTGGGCTTGGAGGGCTAAGTAGCCATTCCGAGTAAAGAACAAATAATGAGCTGTGATAGCCATGAATGGGAGAAACGTGGGCAAGCTCCACAGGTCACTGGTGAAGGAAATGCGCCCTGCAGCTGCCTACGAAAGATTTGAAACAATTAAGCTTAACTTGACCGAAGTTTCATGTAGATTTGTGGACTCGCTTTAATCTCTGAAGCGAGATTGCTGTACTCAGCATCAAAGTGTTCAATGATAAGTTCTGTCAGCTTAAAACGTGCTGGCAACTCTTCTTTATGAAGATCTTCTCCCAGATACAGCAGCAGCTCTCGAAGCTCAGGGCAGTCAATAACACTGAGAGGCTAGAGCAGCATTAGATATAATACCAGACATCACATAAAATTGAGCCAATTCACCTGGTCATCAGCAACAATCCATCAAACAAGTTTCTCATAGAAGACTTCCAGTGAGAATGGTTCTTGTGTGCCAGCTACTTGAGGCTTGCTTTGACACTCGGGGCTAGCTACCTTAAGTGTGATATCTATATCTTGGTAGCCTTTGAGCTTGTGCATGACTACTTCATCCCTGTACTGCTGAGTATGTTCTGTAATCAAATGGGTTTGGATGTTCTTTGTCTGCCCTCCACCTTGGGCCCATGCCTGGTATGATCCCCTGATAAAACTGTTTAAAAATGCGAAATAAATTCAGATGAGGGAGTACTCACACCAGTGCACACTCTCAACATGCATAAGACCTAAAGGAGTCACTCGGCTTAGAGGTAGATATAGTGCAAAGATCCTCAGCTGATGGTGGCTGCCAGTTCTCTGGTGCAGCAGTTCCAGGCTCTGCCATGACACCATACACAAAATGCCAGACATCGGACACTCCTTTAGAAGATCCTGAGCGCTTCTTTGCAATAACAGAGCCAAAACATCTTGATCCACAGATCTTTCCGAGAGGCGCAGCACCACCTGTAAAAATAGGGTGAATGGCTGGTACTCCTTCAACCTGAGGGGCGTCTGTGCTGTTTATGCTCGAGTCCGGCTGTTTGTAGGGACCAAGACCTGGGGCTCCATGAATGGGTCTGTCAAGAGTGTTTGAAAAGGATGCAGCTGTGCTTGATTGCTTGGATGGTCGAATAGTCTGAGACACATTGAGAGGTTGCTTGGAAGCATAGGAATGTGGTGGTAGATTGATGGCTCGGGTTGTGCCATCAGATAGAGGGGCATATGTATATAATGCTGGTGTCGGAGAAGGGCGGGTATGGGTACCAGATGCTGGATACTCTAGTGAGTTTCTGTGATCGTCTGACAAAGGTATAATGTGGGCAGAGTTTCCATAAGTCCAAGATGCATGTGAAGGTGAAGCATAGCTCAAACTTGGAACATGGCTGGAGAAACTAGTACTGCTGTCGAGATACATAGAAGCATGAGGTGCAGCAGTAGCATGGAGTGCATGAGACTGCTGAGAGGCAAAGAAATTGGGAGTGGAGGTGTTCTGCATTTGCGAGGCCAAATTGATAGGCAATGACATAGACAAAACACTGTCTTATAGTGCATACTGGCACACCTCCAACATCGGACAAGACCAACATACTGAGTCACTCAAGGTGCTTGCTGAGCACCGAAAACAAGCATATGTGGTTGCCGTTGAGCCTGAAATCTTTTCAGAGTTTGCAAATTGAGTCGGATCGCACTACAGAGCCTCTCCAGGGTCAGTCATGGGCTTGGAATTCATTCATGAACACCGAAAACATTGGCCGGGCACAGGAATGTCATGCTAAGAGTAATACATGTACATTAGCTTATGGAAGGATCTAGACATATATCATGGCAAAGAGGCGGGTGATGCACTTGCGATGCAGAAGAGTCGGTGTCGGCATCGGGGAAGTACAGCCTACTTATCGAACACGGCGACTGGAATACAATGCGATTGTGTCACATGACTATTAGTTTCTCGGGCTTGAGCTCGCTCCGAGCTAGCTCAAGCTGTCAATTTCTGACAGGTTGGACAGCTCGCGCTCAGCTCAGCTGAAGCAAGCTCTGCTTGCAACAGCCCTAATGCAGGCACTTGACAGCAGCACTGTACTACCTCTGTGACAGCAGCACTGTACTACCTCTGTGACAGCAGATGGTTATCAGGAGCAGGATCAGCATCCGAAGATTGCTGGAGTTGGTTATATACTGAGTGTGTCGCATCCTAGTCCCCCATCTTGACCTCTTGGACATTGGGACTAGGTGCGCACTCACTTTGTAGTAGATAGGATGCTTTATTGACTTGGTCATTGGGACTAGTGCTTTTGTGCTCACCGCCAGCACTCGTTGAGATCCTCCATCACCTAGCCTTGTGGTTTCGGCCACTTGTTGAAACAATGGCAGGGCATCACCATTGTGCAGTGGAAGGGTAACCATACTCTCACCTGATAGTTGTTGTTGGTTTGGGTGGTTTGAGGCTTAGTGCGATGGTAGTTCGGTAGAGAGAGAACTTGTATTCCTAGTACGCTAGTCCTAGGGATTATATACTAAGGAGAGTGACGTGACAGTAACTACTGTACAGTACTAAGGAGCGATCCTATTGGATATGCAATGTAACGCAGTGATGTCATGCTGAATCATAGTCCGACTTATAGTCCGATGTTTCGGGTATTCGTACGTAATAACTATTCGTAAGTAATCGTAAGTAATACGCTCAACACTCCCCCTCATCTAGTATTCCGTCCAGGGATGCGAAGATGCAAACTATCACTAGTCATTCGCAGCTCGCTATTAAGTGCGAAGGAATGCAAACTGTGAAAGTCATCGGCTACGATGGTTTGGTAGAATAAATCTCCAGACCAAAGTGTTGTCGCAGTTCCTGAACTTTCAGGTGTCCCAAGTTCTTGGTAAGAATATCAGCTGGATTGACTGTTCCTCGAACATATTCTAAAGTCACATCTTTGTCCGTTACGTGCTCGCGAACAGAGTGGTATTTAACTCGAATGGACTTAGAGTTCTTTGCGATGATGGGGTTCTGCCCATTGGCAATGGCCCCTTGATTGTCAACGTGTATGGGAGTCGGTGTCAACCGTGGATAGCCTATTTCTTCCAATAGTTGGCGCATCCAGAAAACTTCGGTGGCGCAGGTGCTCATTGCCATGTACTCGGCTTCGACAGTGCTTTTGGCGACTGTGGCCTGTCTTTGGGATTTCCATAGCACTGCTGCTCCAGCGAGTTTCACCAATATGCCTGATGTCGACTTCGACGTTTGGAGATCACCAGCGTGGTCAGCGTCTGAGAAGGCGTGTAGTCCTTGACCAGAGGTCCCATCATATACCAGAGCATAATTCTGCGTACCAACGAGGTAGCGAATAATGTACTTTGCTCGGCTGACGTGTTCCTCAGTAGGTTGTTCAAGGTGCTTCGACAGCTGGTTGACCGCAAATGCGATGTCAGGCCTGGTGCACGAATACAGGTACGTAAGTAACCCGATAAGTGTCTGGAATCGATGGACGAGCTCTGGAGGTGCTTCCCCATCTTCATCAATGTCGCGTGGCACAGGCATATATCCTTCAGGAAGTGGGGTATCTGCCGGTTTGGCATTGGTCATCCCAGTCTTCTCGATGATTTTCTGAAGGTACAGAGTTTGGTCAATGTAGATCTTCCTCCCTTGCTGCTGAATGCGCATACGCAAGAATTCATTGGGTGCTCCAAGATCTCGGCTTTCCCATTGTGCCATGAACTTGGCTTTGATTTGTCCTACCAGCGCCTTGTCGGTGCTGCAGAACAGCGCATCATCAACGTAGATAATGGCTATGACCTTTGTCTTTGCATTGCGATAGACAAAGATCCCAGGGTTGCTATTTATGCGATTGAACCCCAGATCCTTCATGGACTCGCTGAGTGTTAGCCACCATTGGCGACCCGCTTGTTTTAAACCATAAAGGGCTTTCATGAGGTGGAAGACCTCCCCCTCATGTCCGCGGCGGTCCGTCCCTGGTGGTGGCTCCATGTAGATCTCTTCATCCAGGTCGCCGTACAAGTAGGCATTGCGTACGTCGAGGGCTTCGATGTGCCACCCTTCTAACGCTGCGAGTGCAAGCATAAGCCGTACTGTTTCAAAGCGTACAACTGGAGAAAAGGTCTGTTCATAGTCAATGCCCTCCAGTTGGGAGAAGCCTTTGGCTACTACTCGAGCCTTTTTGCGTCCGTCTGACTTGACATCATAGACCCAATGACTTTTCACTGCCTTCTTTCCCGAAGGTAGCTTAGACCATTTAAGGACGCCGCAACGCCAGATTGCCTCCATTTCTGCGTCTTCTGCGGCACGCCACTCCTTCTGCTGATCAGGAGGTAGCTTTAATGTGTCCTTATGATGCCATGAGCAAACTGCCTTCGGTTTCTTTGGCGTTCGAAGTGTTTTAATGGTGTTGGCAACAAGTGCCTGTGATGTGAATGGAGCGTTATCTCCCCCTTCCCGGCCTGGTTTGGCCTGTTGTCCTGCAGTGTTGGTACATGCAGAGATGCGAGCGAGGTTTGCTTCCTCGTTGTCATCATCCTCGTCTTCATCATCTGTTTCGTATTCGTCAGATGGAGAGCTAGACCCATCGCTGACTGGAGATGAAGGATTCACGAGGTTGTCGACCTCTTCGTCAGAGTCCCTTCCCGCCAAGGTAGTACTAGGGCCACCCTGCCCGACCTCCCCCTGCGGTGCCAAACTAGGTCCGGGACTAGGTGAATCGTTTTCTGCAGATCGTCTGCGTGACGTCTGTTCATCCCAGCGAATCTGTTGCTCTTGTTGCCTTACAGCATCCGTAGGGTGTGTTTGCTCCCCATAAATGTTGCCAGGCCGACGAGGGACTTCCGTTCTGCGTGTACTAGGCGTACGGGGTGGGGGTAAAGGTCTACCACCGCGGTCTCGACCTTGAGGTCGGCGTACATTAGGAGCCCCATGGTTTACGTGTGGATTCAGCGCAGACGGCGCAATGACTGCGGACGATCTCTCTTCGTCACTCCCACCCGTCGGCGGTACGAGTCTATCGCTTCCGGAAGGACTGTTAGGAGGTGGCTGTGGATTCTGTGGTCGAGAAGTACTAGGACGTGGGCGTCCGACCTCGTCATCATCATCAGAATCTCCCCCTGAACCATTATGCCCATTATCACTATAGTGGTCTTTGTCGTGGGTTTGCTCACGCGGTGTGCGGACTATCTCCCGAGTCTCCTTTGGACATCGAGGGAAATATTTTTCATCAAAGGTGGCATGGGTGGATAGTGTCAATCGCCCAGATTTGGACATGAACTTCCATCCTTCCATGCCGTGTGGGGTGCCAACGAATGTCATGACTTCGGCTTTCGGCGCCAATGAATTTTTACGACACTCTTTCGGCACAAAGACGTATGCCGCACAGCCGAAAACCCTTAGTCGTTTGACGTTAGGTTTTTTCTCAAATGCAAGTTCAAAGGGGGTTCGCCATTCAATACGTTGCACAGGAGTTCGATTGTACACATGACAAGCGTAGCTAACCGAGTGTTCCCACCAACTTTCTGGGATGCAGGCGTGATGGCGCATGGCTTCTGCATTCGACCAGATTGTCTGAATGGCGCACTCCACATGCCCATTTTGCTGATGAGCATATGGTGTCGAGAGTAGGCGTTTAATGCCGTGTTCATCGAGTAGCGATAGAAATGCATTCGAGGAGAATTCTCCCCCTGAATCGGTATGGAATTCTTTTATCGAATGATCTTTGGTGACCTGGCGGAGCCAAGTGCGAACCTGGTCAATTGCTTGTGACTTTTTCTCTATAAGATAAATCCAAACAAAGGACGAGTAATCATCGACAATGATCACGAAACTCCGGTAACCCGAGACTGAAGATTTGTTCATGGGAGCAATCTTCAAATCTGCATGTACTAACTCAAGAAATTTCTTTGCTCGACGTTTGTCCTCGGGGAAGGGACGATTCTTCATCTTCCCCTTGGCGCAGCCATCACAAGGAGACATGTCCTTGGGTGCAGATACATGAAGGTTAAATCCTTCAACGTGCTTAGCTAGATGCCAAATGGCTTCGCTTCGCACATGTCCAAACCGTTGGTGAACAATTGCATAGTCAGTCGTACTGACAGCCGCAAGGGCGCACGGTTTGATATTCTCGTGCGACCAGAGCCCATAGATTGTATCGTCTGTACTTCTCTGTGGACAGTAGAGGATTTCCTCACCGGTACTACTCGAAACTACTGCGGCATTCTTTTTCATTTTGATCCTCAAGCCTTTGCTTAGGAGATGCCCAGCAGATAGTAATCGAGAGTTAAATCCAGCTACATAGTAGACAGGATAGAGACGAGTCGTAGCACTCTTGCCTGCTGAGTCTTTATGCGTCAGCAGAACTGTGCCGACTGCTTGGATCTCAGCCTTCCCTTGTAGTGACTTAACCTCAGTGCGTTTGCTCTTAGGGATCATGCGGTACGTGAGGAAGTCATTTAAACTACAGGTGAAGTGTTTGCTAGCGCCAGAGTCGAAAGTCCAGAAGACCCGACCTTGCTTGTTGTCGTCACAATCACACTTTGCGCAGTATGCGGTCAAATCGCATTCACTATATTGTACAGGTGTTACAGCGTCTTGTGCAGTGACTATTCTACTGAGTACAACTACACAATGTCCAATATCATACTGTGACAATTCGTGAGGACCAGTTCGCAATGAGTGAGAAGGGACGTACTCGTCAATCTCATCCTTCTTGTCTGCTATGCAGACGTCATCGTCACTCAGAATGGTGACTGTGGCCTGTTGTCGCCTTGGCCTCGATCCAGGGAGCCTTCTCTTTCGTTGAGAAATCTGCCGACTCGGGAGGTCAGCCATCTCGTCGCCTCGACGTTGCGCTGGGCTGTTTCGAGCTCTCTCAGCGCCCTGCGAAACTCCCTCATGAGGCGCTGGTGTGCCGAGGGAGACGGTGTCTTCGTCGAGCTCCCTGGTGTCGGTCCCCCTCCTCTCGGAGGTACTCCTCCCCTGCTCGCCCGGACTCGGGCGAATGTTGCCCGCGCCCTGGTGGGCTGCGTCGGCTCCGAGGGTCCATCCCGAAGGCGGCTTGCCAGCGTTGGTCGGTTGTCCCTCAGGGCGCCGTTTTCCATCCGAAGTGCCGGCCGGAATGGTCGATTGGGGTTGACCATCGGCCCGAGATTCTCCAAAGGAGACCTCTGGCGTGGGGCATCGTTCGACGATGCGCGCTGCCGTCTCCGTGCGAGTGCGTTTTGCCGGCCCTCCTGAAGGCCCGTGGCTATCGCTGACATTGCCGGGATGGCGTCTCTTCGGATGTCTGTGAGCAGACAAAGGTATCGGCGAGACTCATCGAGGTTGAGAGTCAAGCTCTCGGGAGGTGCCCCCTCCAATCGGTGCTCCGCCCTGATCCGCTCCTGAAGTTGAGCGCGGTTCATGTGATCCCACCGGTCCCGCCTGAGTGGCCTCAGCCGTGGGCTGCCGTCCGGTGCCGTCGTCCGCTCGCCTCGCCTGGGATGCGGGGCGTAAGCTGGAGGTGGCTGGTCGACCGGCGGCATTGAAGGCCCTGTTGGCGGCTTGGCGAAGGTCATCGGCGGCAGGCTCGGTGCGTCGGAGCGAGCGTCTGATACGTTCAGCTGCTCGACGACGGGCAGCAACTGGGTCGACGGGGCGTCGCTCTCCTCTGTCCTCGGTTGTGTTGGCCGTGGCGGGATGGTCCCAATTATTCCTTGGGCTGCCCATCCGGTGTGCACTCTGCACATGTTCGTCCAGCATTCTGGGCACCTCGGGTTGCCCATGTTTGGTGGAATCCACTTGAATCCCCCGTTGCAGGCTATCTGCTCGATGGGGTGGACGATCCCTGGTGGACCGTTGTTCCCTGTCTGAGCTAGGCGAGCGAGCGTAAGCGCGAGCTCGCGCGCCTCTGGTGCTGGTGCCATGAACATGAACGTTCTGTGCCGGATCACGTTCGTTAGATCGCCGTCGAGGTGACCGACCGGTAGATACTGGAGTCCAGCGGTCGTACTCCCTGACGGCTCCGATGGAGGGGCTGCGCTGCCTGCGTCGACGATCTGCTCTGACTGGGGAGCGGGAGCGTTGTCGTGCTGGGCTGGCTGATCACCTGTGTTCTGGCGAGCCCACTGCTCGGCGAGTGCCACGTTCTCGCCACGACCGATCTCGGACTCCATTGGTGTCCAGGACTCCCGAAGGTACCCGGGGATCCTTACTGGGGGAGACGGTGGGTGCGACCCTTGGTCGACTCGTTCGACCGCGTTCTCTACCTCGTTCAGCTCGAGATCCCTCATTTGCGTGACGGGGGTTCGGAGCAGCGAACGGGATGGAGTGCGGGACGGGTAGTCTGGCGGGTTCTGGTACATGGACTCGATCTGTTGATCGTACGCGTCCTCCTCCGCGTATATCTCTGCGCGGAACGCTGAGTGCGGGGATGCCACTGGTGACGTCTGCACTGACCTCCGTTCCTCCACGATCTTGTCGTTGGGAATCTATAATGGAGTCCGTCAGCGCAAGCTGGATTCCGCTAGGGACCGTACTCACAACTTCACGTTGCTTTCCTTTGTCCTTGCGGACATTCGCGGGGACCTCTTCGAGATCATCGTCGAAGTCCACCCGCGATGGTGAGTAGGGCTCCTCAGAGCCAGACTCTGGTTCTGGAGAACCGGGCCGTGACGTCGGGGGTGACGACTGCGGAGTTCCGCCGGTTTTACCTGCGTCAGCCGACATGGCAAACAGGATGGCATCGTGGTCGTCGGCGCCGAAGGCGCGCTTGCCCTTCCTGTAGGAATGGCGCCCCTTGCGACCCTTGCCCTTCTGCTGCTGCGGGCGCTGGCCATCATAGCCGCCCTTCCGCTGCTGCTGGGACTTCCAGGCTGGGTCAGCATCATGATGTTTGATCGCCACAGCTTTACTCGCCTCTGCTCGCGGCGGAGCCGAGCGGTTCTTAGCAGAACCTTGAGTCTTGTTGAGACTCCCGCCTCGGGTTGACGCTTCAACCTGCATGCGCGTCTGGTGACGAAGTGCAGCCGCTTTGATGTCGGCGACCTTTAACGCATCGAGGTCCTTGGCAGCGGCGTTCTGGACCTCCGCGATCGTGTTGTACGTCGCTGGGAGTTTGTGCAACAGAAGCACTGACTGGAACTTCGAGTTCAGCTCGAGACCTAAGTCCTTGAGCCGAGTGTAGGTCCTGTCCATCTGGTCGAAGGACGGGTGAAGCGAACCCTTGGCAGGGATCTTGATCTCCAGGAGGTGAGACAGCAACTCGAGAACAGCTGCCGTGCCCGACGTAGCAACGCCATATTCGGCTTCAAGCTTCGTCATCGCCTCGTCCGGAGTGTCCGTACGATTAAAGTGCTGTTGAACGCCCTCACTGGTGCGCTCAAGGATCAGCCCCATAACACGGCGGGAGCAATCGTGCCACTCGTCGCGCTTAGTGCTATCGCCGGATGCAGAGACTGCAGGCGGCGAGACCTGGCTGAGGAGGACATCGCCCCAACCCTTGTACAGAGATTGAGCAATGACGCGCCCCTTCCATCGAACGAACTCGCGTCCGATGAAGTAGGGAACGTCGCCATAGTCTTTGGTGTTGTCCTGAGAAGGCATGATCTGATACAACTTGTCAGCGACAATGTCGAAGACGATAGCGAACACCTCAAAACGAGATGCCTCAGGTAAGACGCAGGTGAAGCCTAACAACGTGAAGTTGTACGAAGGCTGAACCCCTGCGGGGCTCATAACCTGAAACAATGGCAGGGCATCACCATTGTGCAGTGGAAGGGTAACCATACTCTCACCTGATAGTTGTTGTTGGTTTGGGTGGTTTGAGGCTTAGTGCGATGGTAGTTCTCTCTCTACCAAACTACCATCGCACTAAGCCTCAAACCACCCAAACCAACAACAACTATCAGGTGAGAGTATGGTTACCCTTCCACTGCACAATGGTGATGCCCTGCCATTGTTTCACTTGTACACCTACACTTCTATGCTCCTACGCTCCGCTCCGTTCCGCCTACCTCTGACCTCCTCCAAAGTTTCAGAGCTGTTTAGGAGTTTAGAGCATCGCCCCTGTTGTGTCCACAACAAACAGCCTCACCTTTGAGCAAGTAGAGACTGTTCTATGGGTGACTATCTGGTTTGATGCACAATTCTCAGGTGAATGAACACTACAGCAGTTTCAGATCAAAGCTGCTATTAATCACTTAGCCGGGAAGCACGTTGTTGTACGCGCTGGGACAGGGTATGGCAAAACTATGGCCATGATCCTGCCCCTTGTCCTTGCACACCCTCGCAAAATTGCTATCACAGTTTCCCCACTCAAGTTACTCCAGCAAAACCATGTAAGTACTATTATTGTATTAATTGTTAACCTTAATACTTGATAGGTTGAGGAGTTCAATAGCTACGGTGTTCATACCATCCAAATTAACAAAGACACTCCTGATGACAAGGAGCTCTGGAACATACATATCTACATGCATATATCCACTGATATTTACATTATTCTGTACAGGACATTGCTTGAGGCATCTACCAGAATATACTGGTGGCGCCCGAAGCCCAGAAAATGACCGCATAACGCGATGTCACAGCACAACGAAGTTCAGTTCGTCTTCTCCCAGTACCAGCCTAATTTACCACAGACACCGGGCCCCTCTCAGCCCAAAAAACCACACAAGAAGGTATCTGCCGCTGCTCAGCCTGCTCAACCGAGAAAACCGGCCCCAAAACTGTGTCAGAAAAAGGTTGTTAATTAGTATGTACACTTGTAGCACATATAAGTACAAGTATATTATATGCTGAGCATCTGTGTACCAAGTGAAAAGCTAATGTCAGTGTTTGACTGGTGTTGTAACATTGTGAATATGCCTACTAAGTCATTACTGTCCTCATCATCACCTGCTAAAATCATCTATGCAACAGCGAGACATTTGTCTTCAACAGAGCTTGTTGTGTCTTCTTCATAAGACACAGGTGGAAGGCCCTGCTCCAAGCTCGAATGGTTAATCATGGTGAGCCACACTTTTCCATGGTGCTCAACTCCACCATTCATTAATCTGCTTGCACCTTCCTCTTGGATGTTGACTGTCTCATCCTTGACAGTCCTCCTGGGTACATATTCTGCAAGACGAAGGTCATAGGTCTTGTCCATGAGTCGCCTGACGTGTGACGAAGTGTCCGGCACTGTGTGGCTCATTCCACCCCAGCTGGCGCTGTACCGCTTTGCAATCTTGAGTTTGATTGGTCTATAAATTGGTAAATTGGTAAGTTAATTGCGTAGACCCAGAGCTGATCCCAGGACGTGTGAATGCCCTTCGACAAGTAGTAGAACTAGTAATAAGCATAGGATCAGTAAATGTAGCATCAGATTAGTGAAACGAACCTTGAGAGCATTTATAATACACTCTATGTTTAAATCCATCCCCATGAAGTGGCTAGGTCGATTAATCAATGGTATTAGCATGCTCTTTCACATGAGATTGCTGTAATAAAATAGTTAGAGCATCATACAGAGAGAAATCAAAGAAACAAATGTAGAAATTCGAGGTCGCACGGGCTCGCGACGACGCACAGCGCGTTTGTCCCGGGCAAGAGGAGGGTGCCCGAAGGGCACTTGCATGAAGATTTCGACTATCTACGACAAGATTATATACGTAGTACGAACTCGGAAACAGTAAGATAAAAACGACACGTCATGATGCGAGCACTATCAAACACTAATTCCAACAACAAACACAAATTCGGGCATCCAGATCTTCTTGAGATGCTGGATGAGATGCAAACACTCTGAAACATAATTGCTGCACCCACTGCTAGCAAAACACTCAGTAAATGTACCTAGAAAGAGTTTGATGCATCCAAAGTTGCCTGATGAGATTGCCTGACCAAGCTTGAAGAAATACATAAGGTCCCCGATCATAAAGGCAATGTTGCAAAGCTGGCCATCTGCAGTGTCGCCTTCAGCAAGATTTCTGGGACAGAAGAACTGTGAGTGAATTTTCTGAGCCGTCTCAAGGAGAGTAGAAGCACTGGGCTTGTCCTTTGCAAGATCCCAAAGCAATTTACCGGTGATGATCTCCCAGTAGACTAGCACATTAGCCTGTAGCACTGTATTAAATAATAGCTGGACCATCGTCTGATAGTCCGGCTTCTCTCTGTGAAGCCTCTTGAGCCCAAGGATTGAGATCGTCCATGCGAAGCTACCGGGAGTGTCGACAGAGTGTTTGTGGACATCCATGTTTTGCCAGGCTAGGTTCAGCTGCTTGTGAAAAAGACCCATGGTGAGCTGTAGGTTTTTGATGTGATCAAGCGCTGAGACGTCATCGAGTCGCATGTGGAGGGCGCCTCTGAGGTTGGCATTAGTAGCATGATTGTTAACAGAGCGCATGGGTTTGTCTTTGAGCTGAGACTTCAAAAGCATGAGCTGATCAATGCAAGTGGCTCGTAGAAATTTGATGACACCGTCTTTTGTCATCTCATCAACTTTTGTGGTTGATAGAGGGTACTCTTCAACCTTCATATCATGCGGGAGAGGGCAATACTGCTTCGGCTGAAGCTTGTCATGTTCGCCCAGGTAGCTATATGCATTGCCCAATGATTGCCTGAGTATCATGATCAAATTGAGAGTGCAGTGCTGCTGAATATCAGTAACCTGAGCAATTGTTGGTTGAACATCCTTTTTGTATGTGATTAGCTCTTCACAATTGCGCCGTTTAATTATTTCAGCCAGGGAGTGATGAACGTTGGCCGTGCCATTGTTCGATCTGTGATATATAAGGCCCTGAGTTCCCTTGAGGAACTTGTTGGGTCCTAGTTCACGTTGCGTTCCATGCAGGCTGTATATTATCTGGACATTGTCAAGCAAGAGATAGAAGTCCTTGAGGGCGGCCTCCTGCGCTCACTTGAGCTGAGCCTCCAAAAGAGAAACATTCATTGCTTTGAGCAATGACCAAGAGGGACAGAGGCCGACCTTGGCCATTATTTCGACCGCACACTTAGTAATGTTGATACTGAGTAGAAATAGTCTGAAGATACTCTGAAAGAGCATGTTCCTCTGCAATCAGAGATGAGCCATCTGGCAGATCAGCGTGACAATGACCTTAGAGCATGTTAGATAGCAATAACAGCAGCATAGTAATAAACGAGTTCACTACAATGGACTCCCAGGACAACTCATTCATTTGTTTCTGCCACCGCTGTACAAGAGAGGAGACCAGGTCAAAAGTGATTGGCATGAGTACCTGAACGTGCTCACATAGTTTGGCATTGAGATCAAAGCTGTTGGTGAAGTCAAGAGTTATATCTTTGGTCAATCTGAGGAAGAGCTCTGCAGATGCTCGCTCCATTTCCTTGTCGACAATGGTGAGTATATGTGTGCTAGAGCTCTTGTGTAGATAGTGTTCTAGCTTTGCTTTCCATCCATCCAGGTTTCTGAGGACGTTCCAGAGGTGATCGAGCACTCTGCCCTGAAAGAAACCCAAATGATAGTTTCCAAGATAGCCATTCGGGTCTGCAGTTATTATTTTGATGAGTAGGTCGGTGGCCGACAGAGAGGCCACAGGTAGTTGGTAAGCTCTGTGAGGTGCCAGGGGAAGACAAATTTGTAAGTGTTGATAGTGTAAGTCCACACCATGATCCATGGCCCATGCTGGGTGATGTTTTGCGGCTTGTCAGAGCCCTTGAGCATGAGCTCAAGGATGTTCCTAATGTCCGTGACATGCTGGTTGCTGACAGCACTTGAGTTGATGCTGTTGAGTTCATGAGCCTGTTATCATGTTCATGTAATTTGCTGACACCGAGATAAGATAATAAGACATGAGATGGGTGGATAGGCCACTAGAGGAGTCAGAAGCCCCGGGCCAAAGCTCGGGAAGCAGAATCTATATATTTGAGAATCAGAAGCTAAATAATACAAGTACAAGAGCTACAGAAGTACTCCTAATGTATTTACTAGTATAAAGGAAGCAAAAAATCTTACCTGAGTGCTATCAGTGTATCACACACCTTTTCTAAGCGTGAATCCCAAGAGATGCTAGCACTGACAATGTCAAGGTTAGTGGAGGCGCCCTGTATGATGTTGAGCCACTCTGTTCCAGGGAAGAAGGGAGCCTCTGCAGTGTTGACAATCAACAATTAGATCTGCTTGGGCTTGAAGGACCAAACACTGTAGAGCTGTAGGGTTTTTGCGCACCCCTGCTCAGGCGTGAGCATGAGGCAGCGAGGGTCAAATGGTTGGCGCCAATGGTAGGTGGACATGGGGTTGTCTTCTTCGCCATATACACAAACACATATACTCACCTCTGTTTGTCAGTCACTACACCCTCCACTTCCTCCTGGTCGGTCTTGAAGGTAGGGAGGGCATGAAGAACTACATACCTGAGTCTTGTCCTAGTTGTCCTCACTGCCTTCTGTATATAACCCTGCCAAATGATTGTTGTCTTCGAGCCTAACCTTGTTCCTTCCTGGAGCCCGCTCCTCCTGTGTGCAATAATGAAGCTGCTCATCATGCATTGGCGACCTTTTCCTTGTACCTGAGCTTGCTGGCATGCCTGGAGTCTTGCAGTGTCCATTCCTGGAATGTGAAGCAGCATTGTTGAGACCAACAGTCAAACTTGACTGTCCAAGAAGGGGCCATGACAGCAATGGCAATGGCAATGGGACCAAGGGCAAATCAACTTACCAAGGGATGGTGGTGGTCAGGAACAAAGAGAGGGTGTTATAAGATTGGGGGGTGTCAATGTCACGGCACCGTAGAGGTTATAACTGGGGTGAACATATATAGATTACTATATTTTGCAAAGTAACGGGAGTATACAAGCTGGTATGTGTCTGGTTAGGTACTTGAACCTGGGAAATTGATCATGCAACTAATCCTGCTGGGTATATAAAATTACAGGAACATATACCTTAACATATCAGCTGGCTGGTTATTTCCTTGGAACTCCGGTGAATTAGTGGTACAACATGGGATCCTTCAGCCACTTCTTAGTACACATGACCTCGGTGATTGTTGCCGCAGTCATGGATGAATGCGTGTCACAGCAAACATGGCGCGATGACAAAAAAAGCTGTTCCATGGAGCAGATGAGATTTGATTACATAGCACCGTGATGTGGTAGGCCGTGCCGTGCCAGTTGTCTAGAACCTGTCTGATTCTCTCACATGTAGCAGACAACAGTCCATAGTACGTGCTCTGATTTTCACATCTTCACCCATCAATTGTGCCATAGCAGAGCATGGCGTGTCTTGTCTTAGAACATCATGTATCATGTGCTCACCGCCATTGCTGCAGTGATGGCACATGTTCTTATTTTTTTTATCTATGCACCCTCCTCAGATGACTTAGTGCTCATACACCTGGGTCATATCAACACATGCACAGCAACATCTCCCCTGGTCCTGGAGGTCCATCTTTAGTGGATGGCAGATGTCAGACTGAGAAATGCTCAAGCTGATACTCTATGGAACAGTGTTCAGGAGAGCATATGGACTTGTGAGCAAATGGATCAGCAAATGAGGAAGATACTTGATAAAATTGAAGTGATGGGTTAGAAAAAAGGTATATGTGAGTGTATGTGCTGTCAGTGGTTTTAAAGCACTAAATCTATCAGCCTCTCTTCCATTATACCCTCCCTTTCATGTCTGCCCTCACAAGGAGTGCAAAAATTGCAGCAGTAAGGAGGTGAAGAAAGAGCAAATATGACACAGCATAGTATTCACTATGCATGCTGGCATAACTTGCTGCATGGCATGAACACACATTGGGTGTTGTCAGCTGGAGGAGGCACCGAAATGAGGAGCTAGTGCTAGAGGACATCTCTGGGGGCATAGAATGATAGTATGCAATAAGCTCAGGATTGGGATCATCACGATTGCACCAGTACCAGTATGTTCAATGCCCCAGTGCATGGTACTGAGGGCATCAAATCTTAGACATGAGCATCCTCTGAGTAGAAAGAGAACACACTGTTAAGAAATAGCAATGAAGGTGATGAAGGTCTCTGTTCTCACAGTACTAGTGACCCTGATACTGCTCATGGCTTGACATTTGGTGGTGGACTGGCAGCATGCACTGCGGCTCTGCTGCCAGGTATGCTGCCAAGTCTATTTCCCTGACATCCTCCTTAAATTGAGGCAGCCAAGAACACAAGGAACATACTTTTTCACTTGCTTATGTGAAAGACCCCAACGATGGCTGCAATGACTGCAAGAACACCTATGGCCACAATAACAACCACTGTCGCCCTTGGTATTCACTCACCAGGCTGGAGGAATAACTCCTTCCTCCACCAAATACAATTACTCGAAGGGGGAGGCAGAAATAGAACTACACATGAGTTGAGAATGACACTTCTGTCCATCACACCAGTGTTCATGGAGCATAACTGTGTTGGAGTATGGAAGTACACTGCATTGACAACAGTCCGGGAGGTTTGGGAGAAGAAGTGGAGTTTGGGAGAAGGACTAGGGCTCGGGAGAAGGGAAGCATAGAAAGGAATGCTAAAGAGAAGAGAAGTTGGATTCATGGGATGCTCGAGTATATGAGATGAGCATCTTGCATTTGCATTATCTCACCCCATCGGCTAGTACTACAGTGCCTTGGGGGTAAGCTTGTCTCATAACATACTGGAAACCCCACACTAACAATAGTCCTGCAGTCTAATATATCTCTCAGGTAGACAATCCACTAGTACTACAGCACCTTGGGGTCTAATATATATCTCAGTTTCTAACAAACTGGAATCGTACAGGCAGAGAATTCATTTATGCAGGAACAGCCTGTCCCGAACTCAAGTTCAGGCAAAAGGGAGGAGACTGTAAGGGCCACGCTGAGCGTGCACCTAGACAACCCCTGACTGTTTGCGCCATAAGCTTGGACCTTCCTACTCCTCTCACGTAGACTCACTGTGCCTCGACCATCAAAGCTCTTGTTTTTATTGTTTCTATTTCACTTGGACACTAACACTCCCCCGTGGCAACTGCACTTTTATTTTGCTCTTGTTTTCTCTTGCACAATCTCTTGTTCACGCTTTGACCATGCTCATCACACCTACACATGGATCTCACCCTCCTTTGTTCTCTGGAATTGTCCTCATCTTGTAGCTATAACCCGTATCATTAAAATTGTGGATGAATTTTTGATTGTATCTGCTTTTGCCCCGTGTGTCCTAGGCAAGTCCAAGGCTTCCGTGCACCCTGGGAGGCGCAACACCACTGGTAAGCAATAACACAGCATGATGTTTTGCCTCACACCCATTCAAATTTCTGGATATAGTTCAGACTGCAATGTATAAATTTTTCCCCGCTATCTGTGATGGAGCAGCTTACTGGTACTGTTGGTGGCCTCAAATAGAGAAACAGCCATGTGTTGAGTCTGAATCGAGGTCACATCTGATGAAAGAAGCTGTAAAGGCTGTTAAACAAACAAAGGTCAGTCAATGCAATCCTGGGGCCCTGGCTGTCATCAAGACTTACAATGTCATGCAGTGACGTTGCAGCAACAGATGTCATGGCAGTGTCATGGTGGCCGACTGAGACATTGAAAACAGAGCTCTGAGGGTCGAGTGCCCTCGCGGTCGATGGTCCCGAACTTTGATGAGCTGTGTCCCTGATTTGGGGAGCTCAGTGTCCACCCACATAGCGGACCAGCGAGCCTAAATGTGTGGACATCTCGTATAAGGAAATCCAAGTTCCCATGCCGCTCACGAGCTTGCGGTCGTAAAAGTACAGGATGAGTAATTACAGGTAATTATTGCTGTGCATCATTATTATTCAAGCCTTCCAGTATGCACGGTGAGTACACATTGCTCATTCATATAAGGTAGAGAGCGTGGGAATCCAGCATCCTTATGTAAGCCATCTCAGACTTTTTAGTGGCAACAAAATCGAGGAGGGGGAGGCGAACAGACTCTTGGTGAACTCCGAACTGGGCTCACTCAGGTGTACTTGTGGTCTGACTTCAATGATTGACAAGTGTTATCGTCCAGGATTCTTATTATGGTGGTCTTGATAGCTAAGACTAACAATTGCGAGGGTGCCTGCACATCAGAGGGTAGAGTAAAGGAAGGTTGAGACGAGATTGGAGCAATGTGGCTGTGCATATGTCTATATCAGGAGTGGCTGTGCATTGGGCCGGCTTGCCGAGCATCACCTGGTATCATGTGATGCGACAAATATGGAGAATAAAAAGTCGATTTTCATGCCATTAGACCGGAAAGTGCTGCTCAAACACTTTACGAAAATAAAGAAAAATAACTTAATGTTGTTTTTTTCCATGATAGATACTGCCGAACGGAAACCTAGCAACCAGTCTACATGGCCATAGGGACCCTTTCTAGGTTTTGTAAGGTACCTGAGTGTCCATCGTCGCTGCCTATGACGACGACGAGGTTGGGTGCGTGGCTGCTTGCATAAAGGTGCTGTGTTCCCACGCTCTCTACCCTATAGCCAACAGTGCATTTAGACTCGTGACCAGTCCCGCATACGCACCCTAAACGGGTAACGAGCCCAGAGGCTCTCGCGTAGCGAGACTGGCGCAACTCGACAGGGCTTTGGCACGGTGCCCACGGAGTTTGAATATGGCAGATGGGAAAGTTTTAGTCACCGCGGCAAGGCTTTGCCGAGATGACCCTGTAAGCGCGTCTCCTGTCAGATGTAAGGACGCGTCCGCTGGACGCGTTTTGCTGCACCTACGTGAATATATGCTTGTTCCCCCCCATCATCCTGCGTGAACCATCGCTATGGAAGCTGCTCAAGGGCAGCTACCTGTATACTATCCCCCTCCGCAAGTTATTTGGTACTGCCCGCCAGAAACATACCCTCAAAACTACCTGGACCCCTTCCTCCTCAACACCCTCTCAGTATCCGGCACAACTGCTCTGGATCTTGCACAGCGTAATCTAGGGCTCTACTCACGGCAAGCTAAAATCGAGGCTGCTATCAAACTTCTCGCAGACTCACGGTTATCTCCTGCTGAGCTAGTAGCAGACATTGCTCAGGCACCACCTTCAGGCCATTACCTCTCGGATTATCGCACGGGTTTACTCAAGAGTCGAGGTCTCGACTACCTCTGGAACACACTCTCTGTGCTCCCCGCATGGAAGAAGAAGGTTCTGGGCCTCCTACGGCTGCGATCTGTACGCTATGTTATTGAAATGGTGGACAGGGAGATGCAGACAGCGCTTTTTCGTATGTCATCTCTTACTGTTAACACTCAGTTTCTCCAAGATTTCGACCTCGGCAACCTCACTCGGACCATCAAAGCGTCTCTCCCTGTGGCATGGGAGCTCATTACCTCGATAATCCAGCGCCAGCGCATCCGCACAGACAAGATCTCGAAGAAAACTGAGGCGGTACTTCTGCCTGTCCTCTGCTGACTCTGGCACCTCATCTGATGTTTCTGCTAGATCTCGACTGCTATTCTCTCTCAGATATCTCACCTCAGGTCGCAAAATAACATGCTCTTTCAGGTCCCATTTGGCCTTATGCTCGTTAGTCTTGGTCTCCCTCCCCGTGCGCTTAACATCTTCTCTGCTCTGGGCCTTTGTCCTGCATATACCACACTGCGAACTACCTACCAGGCGCTCTCAAACGAGCGCATATCTCTCGCTCGTGAGGTTGCAAAACGCTTCCACGGAATCCAATGGGACAACGTTCATATATCCACCTCCGAGCACCCAACTCAGCGAGATCTAGCTCGTGCTAAGGTTTCAACAGGCACTCAGGGAATTATCTGTGATCTTCCTGAAGTTCCTTGCTCAGTGGCCTACTCTCTGGATGAGCATCTCGCTCGTCGTGCTTCTCTGAATCTGATAGAGTACAAAACCGATGTCCGGACAACTCTTGCTCAGGCTATTGATATATCGCACCACTTATTCATCGATATCATCAAGATTCTTCGCGAATCAGCCGGAAACGCGTTTGACTATCTAGGGGATCCAAACGAGCTTCAATACCGATCATATCTGCCAATGCCTGCTGGGGAAAAGGCAGAGCAGTACCCTCTGCCAACAACAAAAATTGACGAGTCTACAACCATCGGGAATATCGAGTTCCCATTTATTACCTACACTGTGCACCTCGGGATGTCTCCCGAGGAGTTTGAGGGTCGCAGCATCCCACTTAATGCTGACCAGTCAACGCTTGCACGCGTTCGAAGCGCCATCAAGCTACGAGCAGGCGACGAAAACGCTTTTCACCGTCTCGAGGTCTTTCAGCTTAGTCCTGGGCCATTTCATATCCACCTCAACTTTGGCTGGCAGAACATTGGAGTCCACCGAGGCGATTATCGTGACCCGGGCAGCCTTGCTTGGTGTATCAATATTCTGCGACTCACTCGGCTTGGTGGCGACAAACCTGATTATAAACTCATGTGCTCGCTTTTTGCTCAGGTTCTGCAGGCGAATCTCATTGTTTACTGGGAGGACGAGACTGGTATGACTATCCGGCAGCTTTCTGAGGCAAAACCAAGTGCTTCTGACCTCCTTGCCACTGCTCGGCGCATTTTTCTGAAATACTTCTCGGAGGACGCAATTCGAAACCTTGGTGAAGGCTCAGAGGTCGATGAGGTGTTCCGAAACACTATCCTGCTCAACCGTGACTTGATAAACTTCTACGAATTTTCGCTTGGTGTATCCTCTGGCGACTTTGGTCGTCTCGAACTTCTCCTCGGCGCGCTGACAGAAGGTTTTGCGGGGGCAGGGCGATTCAATTACTCGACAGAGATGCTCCATCTTATTCATAACCTCAGGAAGGTTTGGACACCTGAATTTGCGTATGCACTTCCCACTACTTCTATGCTGTTTTCTGACTGTTTATTAGCAATGTTATGCGTCGTTTTATGCTTATCAACACATCTGGGCGCCCCAACCATGCGATTGGACGTGACATGGCCATTGAGCATGAGATCAATGCAATCAAGGTACGTAGTTTTCACAGCACATTGATCTAATACATGAATTGTTCTATAGCAATTTGGCGAGCACAGAGGAGTCCGCGGCTCATGGAGCCAGCTCGCCACCTTTGCTACTCTTGTCCCTGTCCTACAACCACTCAAGTTTCAGTTTACCAGGTTTTTCGGTGCCTGCTGGGGTGGAACAACTCACACCGAACCTGACACCTCAAGGAATGTCAGCCGACTGGTTCGAAAAATCCGGGAAACTAGGATTCATATACCAACACCCGGACGAACTGTCCACAAGCGAACTACTGATGTTATAGCTGATGGAATCAGCTACTTGATGCGCTCAGGAATGCGCAGCTGGCAAAACTCGTACCGCGAGTGGGTGCAGACAAATCGGTACAGGTTTGAAGATAGCGAGCCTGCACCTTTGCAGAGCCATGGCAGCACTGAACATGCTCACAGAGACATTGAGAACGTTTCAGATAATGGAGATATCGAGGATATTCCTCATGGGGAGGACGACGAGGGCAAGAGTGAGACTAGTGATGTTATAATGCTGGAAACTGACGCGAATGCTGGGCATGAGGGCTACAATTGTGACGAGGAGGACGAAGACTTTGATGAGAACATTATGTCAATGTTGAGGCGTGGTTCAGGTGCTGCCCACGATGTTTCTTTCCCTACACTAGCTAATATGTTGTGATGCTCGAGTTGATATATCATATTAAGCGTTTTCTATGATTACAGAGCAAGTAAACTACTCTACATAACCTAGTCTTGATGAGTACGACTCTGCTTTTGAGGGGCTGTGGACTGAGAGGTGTTATTGGAGCGCCTTTTTCGAGTAGAGGGTGTACGCATTGTAGACACAAGAGGATCTTCGAATTGGAGAGATGGGTAATGAGTCTGAGACGAGGTAGGGAGCTGCATAGACAAAGTGGATGGTCCTGGTGTGTCGATGCCAGTGAGATCGTGAGTCCAAGGCTCATCCTTCAAGGAGAATGAGCTCATGTTGTGCTGATAAGCTGCGCTTGGAGGGAGGGAAGGTGTTGTTGCCTCAAGCGTGGGGTCTGAGGCTTCTTGTTTGATTTTCTTTTGTGCCCGTGGTGCTGTTTTCTTCGCCTGTTTCTTCATTGCAATATCAGCTGCAACTTCAGCATCGTAGTTTTTGAGGATGTTGAAGAGCTCTGAGCCAAAAAGCTGCGCCCAGTCTGCAGTCTCCTGGAGGAAAGAGACGAGGTCAGAAAGCAAGGTGAACCTCTGTGGATTGGCTAGAATAATCCGATTGATCTCCTCCTTGCTGGGCAAGTAGTTGCTTGGCCACATCTGAGTGAGTGTGCTTTTGGGGCGGGCCTGTGTTTTCCAAACCTCAATGCGTTGGCGGAGCGGTTCACGCTGTGATTTTGGACGATTATCAAGCGTCCGCATCGCGTTTTTTTTGGGCTTGACTGGTTCGGCATAGAGAAATGGCCCAGGGAAGAATGACTCCAGCTTGAAGCCATTGTCGTGGTTGTTGCAGCAGTAAGACACCGAGTATTTTGATGCTAATAAAGTGTGAGCATAGTTAGCACTTGGTGAGTATAAAACACACCATTTGGGGCATTGTCTGCGTTTCTGGCTCTCAGAAACTCGCGTCGGCATGTTTTGAGGCGCATGCACTCAATAACGCTCTCTGGGGTTCGCTTTTCTTTGTTTGTTGGCTTCTTGGTGTTGTCATCTTGGAGCACCCATGGCTCAACAACTGCAAGGCAGATGGTCTCGATAGTAGGGTTTCTACCACCTCGACCCCATTCTTGCATGAGCTGCTCAATGTTCTGTGGTGCTCCAATGCACACAACACGTTCAATGTTGGATACATCAATTCCCTAATCGCTTTATTAGTTAGATAGGAAGAATAAGTTGGGACTTACATTTGATGCGACTGAGGTAGAGATGAGGACACGGATCGCATCTGAGCTCTTGAACTCAGCAAAAACTCGAGTGATATAGTCTTGCGACATTGCTGAGTGCAGGTGTGACACAATCTTGCTTGACTTGAGTGAGTCAGAGATGCGCCAGCATAGATAGCATGCAATCCGGCCAGCAGAGAGACGATTATCAATAAAGACAACTGTCTTTGGTGGCAGTTCGGCATGGGGCTCAACAGGGACAAGGAAATCGTAATTTTTGAGGTTCTTGATCCCACCATAAAGCTGGCGCACAGCATACGTGTGGTTTGGTCGATTTATTGATTCCATAAGCATGGTGGTCATGCTAGGGTCTAAGTGGAGAGTTTCGAGGACAGTGTGCAAGATCGGGGGAGGGAGAGTTGCAGACAGGATAACAATCGGGGGATTCTCGCGTAGCAGGGGTAGAATTTCTCCAAGCCGTGAGTATACAGGGCGGAAGGCATCCTTTTCTCCTTGCTGGGGGAACCCACTGAGCACGATAAAGTGCGCTTCATCAATGAAGATAAAGCCAATGCTCTCGAGAAATGAGTAGTGGGTGGCCATTAGCGAAGCAAGCCGGGGAACATGGCCACCTTTGAGTCGAAATAGCTGCTCAGGAGCAATGAATATATTCTTGTAGTGTCCTTGAACGATTTTCTGTATGGTAAAAGGGGTAATGAAGCGATATATGCGTTGAGTAGACTGAGAGACGCACCTTCCATAGCTCACTATCATCCGGGGTGTCTTCGTTAGTCTGAATTGATGGTATGCCTATTTGATTGAACTCCTCGACCTGAGGAAGCGTTAGGAGAGTAAAGGACATAAGGATATAATTTACATGGTTTTTCTGAAGAAGTTTCATTGGGGATATGGTCAACGCGATCTTCGAAGGCTGGGTATTGAGGAGGAGAGGAAGGATCATTGTCATTGTTTTTCCATAGCCTGTGCCGGCACGAATGACAACGTTCTCTCCTGCAAGCGTCTTCAGAGTCGATCTGAGCTGGAACTCGCGCAGCTGGCCCTTGCCCTTCGTATGGAAATCGAACCATGAAACTGCTTGATAGACAGTTAGAGCCTGGGGAAGTGTGAGGTTCTCGACAAAGTCAAAGGATAATTTGTCAAATGATTCGCGTGCTGTTTCGGACAGGGGGCCTTGGATAGTGTAAAGAACGTGCATCTTTATTTCTGAGGGTATAGAACTAAGGGATGACGAGATATGGATGAAACGATAGTGGGTATGGTATGGTACAGGGACCAGACGCGTTCGCATCGCGCGACTCAGGGGCTGCCGACGTCCGGCAGAAGCGAAATTAAAACTCCGTGGGCACCGTGCCAAAGGCATGTCGAGATGTACCAGTCTCGCTAGCGCGAGAGCCCAAGGGCTCGGTACTCCCCGGGTACGCAACAGCTTAGACTGGTCACGAGTCTACAGTGCATTGCAGATAACCCCAAGCTACGGAGTTATCACATTGTTTACCATTTTTGATGGTTATATTACCCAGGAAGTTCTATAGCACATATTTCGTGAATCCATCAGTGGCGGCGCACTTTAAGTATAATACAGGCAGTGCTCTATTGGTCTATTATTGGAAGTGTGGAACTCAGTTGTTGACCTTCTGTCCCCAATCCGCCATAGTTCACAAGTATGAGTTTTCATAAGTAAGGCCATCCAACACTACTGTACTTTTGACCAGAAGTTTGCAGGGTGGCGTGGGAATATGGCCACCAACTACAACGTGTATTCACTGGTGTTGGTGGGTTTGAAGCATAAATGGGACAGCAATGGACAAAGAGGACAGTGCGAGGCTGGGATGGTGTTATTCCGCTTGACAACACAGATCTCTTCCAGCAGTGCACGTGGAGCAGAGCATGCGACATTAACCACTCGGAAAGGTACATGTCACTCCTGCGGCCAATGTTCACTTCCAGTTTGCCTTTGACAAAGTTGTGAGACCTGACAAAGAGCTGGTTTGGAAGACAAATACTGAAGGCTGAGGTCAGGGAAAATGTCCGTGCTCACCAGAAGCGAGAGTTTTGGAGGTGTTAGTGGAGTAAGAGGGAAGAGATAAGGCTGTGATGTTTTGAAGTGGGTTGGGATCATCAAAGACAGGGTTCAAACTTCAAGGCAGAAGACCAGAGAAAGGCTGCTGGCCAGCGGAAGGAGGGGTAAATGGAGTTGCAGCCTAGTTGGGAAAAGGTCAAATAAAAAGGAGTAAGATGGAAGTATATATTATTATTATTATTATTGTGGAGATTCACCAAAGTATGAAGAAGTCTTGTAGAGAAGGAGGGTGAGAAGTAGTTTGCTGGCAGTTAACGGGGGCTGAGCCTAAGCAGAAAGCCAGGGTTGAACAGTTCTGAGAAAGGCGGTGTTGCGCGGCGGGGGCGTTGGCGGTGGCGGTGGTGGCGGTGCAAACGCAACCCCGGACGCGTCAAACAGTCAAGCTGTCCTATCTTAGCGATACCACCACTATTATGCCTATTCCCCTCGAGCTTGTCTACCGCACGTTTCACGCCTATCCTCACGTACTAGCCTATGACTTAGAACAAATCAACAAGTTCCTGAAATTATGCTATGCCGAACGAGAGGTCATTGCCTTAATCCATCATGCAACAATCAACACGATTACTGTACCTACACGACCGTAGGTTTGTCACGCCTCACGCTTGACCCGGAAATTGAACTTATGACACAGTTCGTCACCCATCACATAGTACTTTTAACTTCAGAGTGTGACAGAAAAAATTCAGCTGATTTTCAGATGTAGGAGGGTTATCTACAGTAGCTAGTGCTGTCTATACTCCTTGTAGCGTAAATTCGAGACTTTGAGATGCTTACCACGACTGTATTCGGCCGGAGATGGAATGTCGAGCTCCCCAGGTTCCAAAGAGTCGGCCAGACCAGTTACAGGAGCTTGAGACGCCCGGGGATCAGTCCAATGAGCAAGAAAGCTCATTGGTAGAATAGGAAAAGTGCAGAGCGGGTAAGGCCCAGGAAAAGGAGTTTCAGCTGAGAAGAGAAATGGAAGTGTCTCATCAGGAATCATGAAGGCGGGATCATCAGGAGGCAGTAAGGGGGGATATTTAAGTAGAAGAAAATGACGGACTGCTAAAGCGCCATCAGCAACTAAGGCTTCGTATGAGAGAGGAAATCTAGGGTTTGTGTTGG